TACTAAAATCTAAATATCAATTTTAAACTTTATTTTTGTTTTAATTAAATATTTTTATTGATATTATTATTTTTTTAACATTCAATAAAATAATACAATCAATAAAATTAAATTATCAATAAATTTCATTTCTTTATTCCTTAAATATATCTTTTAAAAAAAACTAAATTTTATAAAAAATATTTAAAATAAAAAGAATAAAACTAATAGCTAAATAAATTATTATAATAAAATATAAAATTATGATTAATCAATAATCATAAGAGCTTTGACTCTTCTACTATTAATAAATACACTATATAAAATTAATTATTATAATTCTTTTTTATTTATAAAAAACTATAAAAAATATAAAAAATTTTCTTTATTCTAATTTTTTTTTTATTTTTTTTTTTAATAAATGATAGAAACTATATAATTTTTCAATCTGTAAAATTGACATCAAAAATTTAAAGAAGCAATAGAAGAAACAGTGTTGTATTGACTTTAAAAATTCATAAAAAATTCTTATCCAACCCAAAACAATTAAAAAATCATTTAAAAATAAATCAAAAATATATTGGTATTGTTTTTTTCATTATGGTCGTGGTGGGTATAGAAAAATAGGAATAATTTAGAGTGAACTAAAGAAAGAAAAAAATAAAAATAATTATTTTTATTAAAGAAACAACGAAATATTATTGAAATTATTAATTTTCAAAAATATAATAGCAAACTCAATATATTATATATATAATTTGTTATCAATTTTTTTATCTAGATATTTATTTCGATTTATTGACAAAAAATAATTTTTATTGGATGGATATTTTAAAAATCAATATAAAATGTTTCTTATACAATAATGATATCATATCATAATTTACATTTTATTTTTATTTTTATTTTTTTCAGAAATTTTAATATAAAAATAAAACATATAAAATAAATACAGTTGGTGTTGTGATATCATTAACAAAAAAAAAATAAAAATTAAAAATTTAAAAAAAAAGTGATACTCCATCACCCTTGGTATAGGTGAGAGTGGGGGAAATATAAAAACACTTATAAAAAAGAAGAGTATCTAAAAATAACTTTATATCATTTGGGGGGATGAGGGGGAATTATTGGAACCATAATAATTTTGTGTGTTGTCATACATTGAGAGATTTTTACAGATATGACAACAACAACAAATTACAAAAATATAATAGAGACATATATCAGTCGATATGCGAAAAATTTTATAACTCTTTACTTGTAGAGAGGTATTTAACATTATTATTTTAATTTTATTTATTTTTATTTTTCCTTTTTTAACTAAAATATTTAAATAATTTTTAAAAAAAAAAAAATATTCATTCATTCATTCATTCATTTATTAATTTAATACATTAAAATTAACAATATTATAATTTAATATTATATAATTTTAAACCAAAACAACACACTACCCCCACTCCTCTATAAAAATATTATTTATTCATTATTTATTTATTTATTTATTATTTAAATACATCTATTAATTAACTTATAAAATGTTATTCAGTAAGTATTTTACCATACAAATAATTATACCCTATATTAAAAATTCATATATTAATTTAATTTTTTTTTATAGAATCATTAGTTTCTTTAAAATCAACTTCATCAGTCTCAAAAAATACTATTTCAACTTCAAGTGATTCAATTTCATTTGATAATAATAATATCCAAAGTAGTAGAATGGTAACAAGCGGTTACTTTACCAGACCAAGTTTCGTCGGTTATTAAAAAAAAAGAAAAATAATATATATAAATTAAAAAAAAAAAAAAATACTTTTTTTTTTTTGCCCATCGATCGAGCTTGTAAATAAATCTTTAAATAAAATAAAATTTAAATATTAAAAATTAAAAAAAAAATTATATAATGGGTATTTTATTGTTTTTTTTATTATTATTATTTTTGTGTGTGGTTTAATTTAATATGATTTTACTAAATTTCCCGTATTTTTGAACTTGCTTTTTATTTAAAAAAATATGTTATTTGAAAACTTTATTTTACAAATTAGTTTTTATTATCTTTTATTTGGTATCATTACATAAAAAAAAAAAAAATCATTTATATTATTTGAATGATCACTTTAATATTTGTCAAAGAATGTTGTTCCATGAATTTAAAAAAATAAAAATAAAAAAAAATATAAAATTTTTTGGTTTTTTTTTTTCAAATTTTTCAAAATCATCATATTTTATTACTGAATACACGCTCTTTTGGATAACTTTATTTACCAAAGAAATGGTTTTCATTAAAAAAAATTTATAAAATATTAAACTTTAGTAAAAAATAAAAAAAAAAAGATATTTACAAAGAAAAACAATCAAAATTATAAAATAAATAATTATTAACAATATGGTAATATGAAAACCAAAAATCAAAAAATAATATTTTTAATATCAATAATAGTTTTTTTGGCATTTTCACCAAATAGTGTTCAATCAGATGACACATCATGCACACAAAATTTAATCAACACACTATTTAGTAATGCTCCATCAAATATAGTATTGTGCACAGGTGAAAGTGGGTATACAAGTTCAGATAATACATGGTCATATATTGGCATTTGCAAAGATAGTGTTACATTGGAATCATTGTAAATTTCTTATTTATAAAAAAAATGATATAATAATAATAATTTTTATATTAAATTTATTTAATTTCTTTATTTTTTTTTTAATATCATTTAGGTCTATAACATCAGTAACATTAAATTCAAACTCTTTACAATCAAATCTTTTAAGTTGTTTTACTTCATTAACTCAATTGTAATTATTATTTAATTTTTTTTTTGTGATAAAAAAAAAAAAATTAATTAATTTCATTTTATTTTATTTTATTTTTTAGAACTTTAACAAATTTATCATTTGATCAAGATGCATTTGGAAGCGGTAGTGCCACCAATGTAGCTCTCAATACATGCTCATTTAAAAACCAATTAATCTCATCAAATGGTAATTCAATATCACCAACCACAACCAAATTTTTTATGAAAATAAATGATCAGCTCAATTTACCTCAATTAAACCTAAAGACAATAAAAAATTTAAAATCTTTGTATGTATTTAATAAAACTCTTAAAATGTAGTAAATTAAAATGAATATTAATAAATATTTAATTTTTAATTATAGCGAATTGGTCCATGACATAACAGTTCAAGTGAATAATTATGTAACCTATATAAATGATCTAGTACCTAATGAAACTGATTTTGAACTTTTGTAAGTATAAAAAAAATTTCTAAACTAAAAAAAAAAAAATTAATTATGTTAATAATTATTATTATAAAAAAACATAGAACTTTAACATCAAATGAAATACCATCATTTGATAATATCAAGGCATCAGATTTATTTTTTAATTTAGTTAAGGCGTCAATGGTACCATCATTTGATAATTTTAATACATTAAATTCAGTCATTGGATTTTATTTCAATTTTAATTTTGATAGCGATTCAGAAATCGATTTCCCAACCTCATTTAGTTTAGCAACCAACATTGAAGAATTAACTTTAACAGGTCAACTTAAAAAACCTACAGCTACTTTATCTCTTCCACCAAATACTATAAAGCTAACAATTGCAGACAGCCCAAATTTTAATATTGACGGGGTTTTTCCTTTATTGTTACCAAACTCCTTAACCACCATCACCATAAGTAATTTAGGGTTAACCAACTTACCAACTTTCCCACAAAATATTCAATCAATGTAAGATTAAAAATTAATTATTATAATAATTAAAATTTTCTTACTAATATTTTCATATTTTATAGTTATTTTGAAAATAATGACTTAATACAATCAAGCAGTAATCTACCAGATCTTTCAAGCTATAGCAATTTAAAAAAAGTTTCTTTTGTTAATTGTGGATATACAGGATCAATACCTCAAAGCTATTGTGAATACAGTGACATAAATTTAACAAAAAATAACCTTCAAAACTCAGTTCCACAATGTTTAGTTTGTTATATGGATGAAACATATAATAGTTTTAGTTTTAACAATAACCCATCATTAACTATCGGGTCTTGTGGTAAGTTTTTTTTTTTATTTTTATTATAAACTAAATATTAATATAATATTTTAATTATTTTAGAACCAGGCTCAATCATACCAAATTTATCATATGATGACAACACAAAGATTTTAGCATTAACAGGTCAAAATTTAGGAAATGTTGGTCCAACTATTATAGGAAATGGTCAACAATTTCAAGTTGTAACACCTCAATCCTCATTTACTTTAGTATGGGACGAGTCGACCTATGGAACAATACCAGATACCATTCAAATGTATTTCGGGAAAGATGTTTTTACATTAGCCACAAGAGTTTTAACACCTTCAATCCAAACTATCAAAAAATCAAATTCAAATTTTACTTTTTCTGGTTCAAATTTCTCCTATAATAAAGATGATATTCAAATTATTGTTTCAAAATATCAATGTATTATTACCTTGGTGCAATTTAATACTATAGAATGTTATTTCGATAAGAAACTGCCAATTGGTCAAGATATTTCTGCAACTATTCAAAATGTTAAACCACCGACCTCAGTGGTGGTTCACTTTACAGTTAATACTCTATATGACACAACAACTATAGTGAAGTTTTGTCCCACTGATTGTAACATTGGTTCGGGATGGGGCAGATGCTCAAGTACCACAGGTGAATGTTTATGTACAACTTACTATACCGGTGATTCATGCAGTATCCCAAGCCCATTTTTGTCGTCGGTTTCATCAACAACAATTAAAGGTGGTCTAGTAAACCTATATGGGTGGTTTGGTAATGTTAGTCATAGTGACCTATCAATTAGAATTGGTGAATTAAACTGTGTGGTCCATTTTACCGATAACTTTTTTTCAAATTGTACCATTGGTCCTGGTAATGGTACAGTTTCCGTAACGCTGACACAAAATGGTTATGTTTGGACTGGTTATAATAAATTCCACTTTATCGAACCTTCTTATAAATGTCCAAAGAATTGCTCAAACCACGGTGTATGCAATGATCTGATAGGCCAATGCAAATGCAATAGTGGTTGGGGTGGATGTGCATGCAACTCTTATATACCACCTACTACAAGTGAAGCCTCGTCTTCCAGCCATGAAATATCTTCTCCAACAGTATCCATTCCACAATCAAATACAACTATTAATGAAACAATTGGATCAGCACTTATAAATAATCAACAGACTACTTTTGAAATTTCAATTCTTTCATTATTGGAGCTTGATTTCGAAAATAATATTATAAATATATATAACTTAACCAACCAATGGAGTACTGCCACTATCAATAACTCAACTTATACATTTCAGCAATCAATTCAAGAGTCATGCTTAATTACATATACAATACAACAAATTAATACACCTACAGAATTGGAATATGCAGGTTTAAATTTAGAATTAGAGAAAGACTCCATTAAAATATCAGTTTTAATTCAAAACTACACATTTTCCAGTGCACTAAATCAACTTCAGCTCCGACTAGAGTCCTCAGTATATAGCAACAATACAGAATCTTTTGACAACGAATGCAACAATAAAGATAGTGAAGCAGAGATGGATGGAATCGATAAAAATCAACTTTTAAACTTTGTATTACTTTCAAAAAATAATAAAATATTAAATGCAGTTTTTGTAAATAGAATTATGAGTGATTCAAGACAAACGTTTATTACAAATACAATCATATCAAATAAAACAACTTCAAATAATAAATACTCGATAGTAATCGGTCTAAATTTACCCCACTGCACCCACGAATGTTTTATAGATCCAAACTTTAGCCTACTGGTAGATAGCCATTTTAATAAATGCCAACCTAATGGAAGACCTGTTTGGGTATTATATGTTTCCATATTTGTACCATGCACGTTCTTTGTCATTGCTGCAATAGCGTGGGGTATTATATTCAGAAAGTACCGTACCTCAATTTTAATAAAATGCTATGAACATAAAGAATCTTTAAATAATCTAACAAGAAAAAACAAAGATTATATTTATATGCCAAATAGATAAAAATTTTTTTTGTAAATTATGATCACAGTTTTTCAAATATAATTTTTAAAACCCCACAAAATTAAATTGTAAATAAATTCAATTCCTTTTTAAGGAAATAACGAATATTCTATTTTTTTTTTAATCTTGATCATTTTTATAAACACTGTTTCATTGAAAGATACTTATTAGGCCATTTGTTAATTTGTTTAATTATTTTCTCAAGATAGCGGGTTAATTTATAAATTTGTAAAAAAAAAATTAAAAATTATTTAAATTTTAAAAAAAATAAAAATAAAAAAAAATTATATTCGAATATTTCATTTTTCATTTTTTTCAAGAATTTTTTTTATTTTTTTTATTTAAATAGTGCCAGTTAATATTACCTTTAATTATACTCCAACTATTTAAACCATTAACTATATTTAAATCATTAAATATTAAAATGAATAATGGTAATAATAATTGTGATGTGAATAATTCCCAAAATTCAACACAAATAAAAACAGCATCTTTAAAACCATCATTTCCAACGTTAAAACCATCATTTCCATCTTTAAAGCCATCATTTCCATCTTTAAAACCATCATTTCCATCTTTAAAACCATCAATACCCTCCAAACCACCAGCTAAACAGTTTAATCTTAGTTTATTAAAACCCACACTACCATCCAATGTAAATAATAGCCAATCCCAATCACAGTCACAATCACCACCATCATCTCAAACACAAAAGCAATCAATAGCGTCTTTTTTTAAAGGAACATCTGCACCAAGTACACAAGAATCAACAAAACCATTTTTCGATAATAGCTCAAAATTTGATTTTCCATCATCTGATCCAAACACTGTTCAAACAAATCAATTTGAAGTTTTTGAAGATATTGGTAATAATCAGTATAAACTATTTGGAGGGCACACCGTCAAGTTTCCATTTAAACCATATCCATCGCAGGCATCTATGATGAGCAGAATTTTATCGGGATTAGATAATAAAGAGAATTGTTTGTTAGAATCCCCAACAGGTACAGGTAAAACTTTAACTTTATTATGTTCAGCATTAGAATGGCAGTCACAGCATAAAATTAGACAGATTAAAGAATGTGAAGAGAAAAAAAGATTAGCAAGAGAATCAAAGGAAAGATCAAAAAAAAAAATACGTTCGAGCGATGGTAAACCACTCTCTGTAAAACTAGAAGATTTAGATGATGATACGTCCAAAACCACTACTACTACCACAACATCACCAAATAATAAAAAAACTAAATCAGGGTATGAAGATATGGGCTTTGATGACGAGGATTACTATTATAGAGGTTTACAAACCGATTTTAAACCAGTAAATAGCGGTGTTAATGGTGTTAAAATTAAAACAGCCCTTAAGAGAAGCCGAGAAGATTTAAAAAAGTCAAATAATAATAATAATGGTTCAGATAGTGACGATACCGATAGCGAAGATCCAGTAGAAAACTTTAGACCCAATCCATCACCAACAATCTTCTTTTGTTCCAGAACTCATTCACAAATTAAGCAATTAACCGAGGAGCTTGCCAAAACCCCATATAGACCCAATATGTTAGTAATGGGAAGCCGTGATCATTACTGTATCAATAAAGAACTCAAAGATGTACCAAGAAAGAAAGAAAGATGCAAAAAGATTATTAAAGATCCAGGTTGCCGTTATTATAAAAAGGAATTTGTATTATCATCGATTTCAACTTTTAGAAAAGGTGGTGCTAAACAAGTATGGGATATTGAAGATTTAAAAAAAGCAGGTCAAGAACATTCCGAATGCCCATTTTTTGTTTCAAAAGATATGCTACCATCCTCAGATCTTGTGTTTTGTCCATACAACTATTTAATTGATCCCTCCATTCGTAGTACACTCAAAGATAAAGTCAAAAACTCAATTGTTATATTCGACGAAGCACATAATATTGAAGATGCCCTTATGGACGCAAGCAGTTTTGAATCGACTCTTGATGAATTGTATGAGAATGTTTTTCAAGTTTTAAAACAAATTAGAATGAACCCAAAAATCATCAAAAATTTAAGCCCAGAGAAAGAGCATGCTATCAATATTATTCATCCAATTATGGATGAACTAGTAGCTTGGATTCGTGAAAAATCGGAATCATTAAAACCGATAGACTTTGAAAAGCATTCAAGAGTTTGGAAAGGTAAAGAAATTTTAGATATACTCCAGGGGATTGGTTTAAGCGAATCGAACTACTTTGAATTTTCATCGTCTGTCAAAGCACTATCCGATGAAACCGATGACAAACAAAACAAAAAAGATAAATTAGGTAAACCATCTGGTCCAACTTCGAGAAAGGATGAAACTATTGATCCTATACCACCCAGAGCTTTAGCAATATTAGAAGAGTTTTCAAAAGTTATAGAATTTATATTTAAAAACGCAAATTGGGTAGATGATTATGTTTTGGTATTACAAAAACAAACAGTACTCACAAATTCATTTGTAAAGAAACAACAAAGCTCTAAATGGAATCTTATAGTTAGTATTTGGGCACTAAGTCCAAGAATTGCTTTCTCTTCTTTGAATTCAAAAACCCATTCAATCATTTTGACATCGGGTACACTTTCACCACTATACAGCTTTCCATTTGAATTGGCATCACCATTCCCAATATCAGCAGAAATGGGTAATTTATCAGATATTAAAAACCGTGCATGGATTGGTACACTCTCTCATGGCGTCAGAAATGAAAAGTTTTTATGTACTCATGGTAATACCGATTCATTTAGCTTTCAAGATTCTTTGGGCGAAACTATTATAGAACATATTAAAATAATTCCAAGTGGTGTTTTATGCTTTTTCCCATCATATGGATTTTTAGAAAAGATAACTGATAGATGGGCTAGTACTGGACTTTTAGATAAAATTAACGAATTAAAACCAGCATTTGCAGAACCCAAAAATATCAAAGACTTTAATGAAACATTAATTGGATACCGTCAAACCGTTCAAAGTAACCCCAAAAAAGGTGCTATATTATTTGCTGTATGTCGTGGTAAAGTTAGTGAAGGTATAGATTTCTCTGACGAATATGCAAGAGGTGTTATTGTAGTTGGTATACCCTATCCAAACCTAAAGGATCTTCGTGTGGATTTAAAAAAAAAACATAATGACACAAACAACCAACAAAAAAAAGGTATTTCAGGAAGGGATTGGTACAACTTACAAGCCTATCGTGCTTTAAATCAAGCTTTAGGAAGATGTATAAGAAACAAAAATGACTATGGTTCAATCCTTTTAATTGATGAAAGATTTACATTAGAAAATAATTGGAGCTCTCTATCAAAATGGACCAGGCAGTGTATCCAAAACAATAAAAGTTTGGAAAAATCGACCAAATCCTTAAAGAACTTTTTTAATAAAAAAATGGAATAAGGGGTAATAAAAAATTATTCAATAAATCAATCAAAAATTCACTTTTTAAATGAAAAATCAGAAAAAAAAAAATTATTTTTTTTTAATTTTTTTTTTTTTCTTTTTTTTTTTTTTTTTAAATTTTTTCAAAAATTTTTTAAACGAGAATCATTTTTAAAATTAACCCACATCACAACACATTTTATAAACCATAACAATGAATTGTTTAAATAATAATAATAGAAGATTGTTAGGTGTTGTTTTAAAACAACAAAATAATTTTATCAATTTAAATAGAAAATATTTTGGAAATATTAGCAACATTGCATCAACCACCAGATTAAATAATGAAAATAAAATAAACTATCAAACTAGAACAGCATTTAATACACCAAGAAGAATGAAACAAAATTATTTCTTACAATCAACTGGCGCAATTTTCAATGAAGAAGTTCAACCATCTTTAACCTCAATCATTACCACACCAAATAAATGGTATCCATATGGTAAATTTATTTATCAAAATATTACCTCACATTTCGTAATCAAATCAAAATTAAAAGCTTTAGATAGAACAAGATATACAAAAAGAGCGTAAGTTTCTGTATATAATAAAACAAATAAAAAGTGGATAATTAATAATTAATATGTTTTATTTATTCTATTTTAGCTTTTTAAAAGAAGCTGAAGATATGTTTATAAAAGTAAATGAATCAATTGCAGATGGTAACAAACACCAACTTAATGAACTTTCATCAATCCAATTTGGTGAAGTTGTAGAAAAAAAGTCAGGTTATCTTAATAGAAATAAGGATCTTAAATTTAAATGGAGTTGTAATATAACTGGTAAAAATTTACTTTGGACAAGAGCTGGTCAAATTAAAACTTCTGCCAAATCATCAACCTTTTTTGCCCAAAACTGTGTAGAATTTATTGGTACCCAAAGCATACAAGTATTTGACAAGAAAAACAACCTTATTTCAGAAAATAAAGACCAACCATTCAAGTTAGAATACATTTTTGAACGTAATTTAGCTTCCACACCATCAATGTGGAGAGTTTGTTCTTCAACTGATTATAACATTGGCGAAAAAATTTAAATAAATAAATTATTTTTTTAATAAAACTATAGTTATAGTATATATATAGTTATAGTATATTTTTAGTATTTTGTAAAAAAAAAAAAAAAAAAAAAAAAAAGAAAAATAGGTTTTAAAAAATTTAAAGATTTATTTACAAAATTTTTTAGATAATTTTTTTTATGTTGTGTTTTTTGTTATTTTTTAATAAAATAATTATTAATATTGTTTGGTTTGGTGTGGTTTGTGTGGAAAATATCGTTTGTTTATAAAGTGTATATATGTATTATAAAAATATTTTTAATATGGTATAAAATCGCTATTTGAAGAACCAAACGAATTAAATGAATCACTTTCAAAAGAATTTGGGAAGAAATAATCGTTTGTGGAATGTTGTTGGGCTAAAAATGGGTTATTTTGAATTGGTTGTTGTGTTTGTTGAAGTTGTTGACCATTTTGTTGTTGCTGTTGTTGATGTTGTTGAAGTTGTTGTTGGTTTGGACTGTTAAGAGTTGGTGATGATGGTTGTTGTTGTTGTGATGGTGATGAAATTGGTAATGGTGCAATGGTACCTAATGGTCCACCGACACCCTCTGTAATGAATAAATCTAAAAGCTCACTTAAAGTTTCAGAGTCTCTTGTTGAAGCATTACGAAATACTCTTCTAACTTTTTCAGCTCTTTGTCTTGGATCTAATTGTGTATATGCATTCATCATTTGTTTAAAACTATCTTCAAAGGTCGAATTATTATTATTATTTATACTATTATTTAAACTATTATTATTACAATTATTTAACGTATTTGTAGATGAATTTAATGAGGTTGTAGTTGTTGTAGTTGTTGTATTATTATTTGTTGCAGTATTTGTTGCAGTATTTGCTGCAGTGTTATTATTTGAATTTACAGATGGTGAAGCGGATGCAGTTGCAATGGCAGTAGATGATGAACCTGATGATGATGAAGTTGATGGTGTTGTGGCTTGTTGTAGTAATAACTTTTCAATTAATTTTTGTTGTTCATATTGTTGATGTTGTATTTTTGATACAGATTCTAAAAGAATATCATTCCAAGTACGCTTCTTTGGTGGTTGTTTCTTTTTTAGTTGCTCGGGTTTAGAAATTACTTTGATTGAGGTTGTTAATGCGTATAAACCCCCAATTGGCTCTTTAGTAATTGGATCTTGGCCTTCTATTTTAACTCTGAAAAACATATCTTCATGTTGTGAAGTTAATACCTTGATACGTAATTCTATATTTACCGAATCACCAGATTCATTGGGAGTTGCTTTATGTTCTACTGGTTTAACTTTAACAAAATCTACTTCTTTTTCTTCATTACCATCACAATCATATAGCAATGTAGAATCGAATGCTACACAATTTAAATCGATATCGGGCTTCTTTAGTTTTAATTGAATATTGAATGGACTGTTTTTAATTACAACTCTTATATTCTTTTGTAAACCATTTAGTGTAACCTTTTCTTCGAATGGTGATGTTTGCGAAACCAATTCCAATCTTTCATCACACCCGGTGTTCATATGACCCATTTGGTGCATTGCTTGTTGGTGTTGAATTAACATATTATAATTTTGTTGCAGTTGTTGTTGTTGTTGCGATTGATCAATAAAAGTATTAATCATTATTTATTAAAAAATAGAAAAGATGGGACTTATAGATTGAAATTTAAATTATTACTGTTTTCATAAAACTTATTAAAAAAAATAAAATATATTTATTGTGGGTGATTAATTATTATTACTATTGTTATTTATAAAAAAAAAAAAGAATTGATTTAATTTTGGTGGAAATATTTTATTTTTATTATTAAAACAAATAAAAGGAGAGGAGTTGGTTCTCTTTTTTTAGAATACTATTATAAAAATAAATAACTTAAATTTTGACGTTGAGATATGTATCTTTAAGTTTAATAAGTGTGTTTCTAATTATATAATATAACAATAAAAATAAAAAAAAATTAAAATTAAAAATTAAAAAAAATAAAAAAAAAAAAAAATAAAATAAAATAAAAAAATAAAATTATTATAAATAGTGGTTTGAATTAATAGAACAAATATAGTTATTGTTTGTTGAATGGGGGTAGTAGGTGTGGTTATGTGGTAATGTGATTAATGAATGGAACAAAATTATTTTTTGACAAAATTATGAAAAAAAAAAAAAAAAAAAATGTATATGTGGGGTTGCTATATATAGTTTTGATTTTTTTTTTTTTTTTTTTTTTTTTTTTTTTTTTTTTTTTGGATTGCTGCTAAAAAAAAAAAAAATAATTATATTATATAATTATTGATTAAATATTATTATGCTCTGATTAATATAAGTAAAATTATAATGGAAAAAAAAAAAAAATAATATATTATTTAAAAATATAAAAAAAAAAAAAAATCAATTTTTCGTTTTTTTACAAAAAATTTTTTAAAAAAAAAAGAAAATAATTTAAAATAAAATAATTAAATAAAAATCTTTTTTTTTTTTTTTTTTTTTTTTTTTTTTTTTAAAAGGATTAAAAGGGGGAAATTTTCCCAACCCACCCCCCCAATATCATTATCAAAAAAATCATTGTGACTTTTTTTTTTTTTTTTTTTTTTAATAATATCACAATTTTTGATATTAATACTTATTTATATAGGTTGATACACGATTAAAGGTTTTTTCAAAATTTTTTTTTTTTTTTTTTTTTATAAGACCTATTCAGAATAATTTTATTATAAAGACTTTTTTTTAATAAATGTATATAACTGTCCCTAATTTTTTAAAATAAAAATTAAAATTTAAATTAAATTAAAATAAATAAAAAACAAAAAAAAATTTTATTTTTTTGGACAAGCCATAAACATATTCAAAGGGTAACGTCATTACACGAACAAAGAAAAAAGATTAAAAAAATCATCAACCTTTTTTTTTTGAAATAGGCATGGTGATAAAACCAACTTTATTTTTTTTTATTCGAAACAGATAGAGACTTTAGTTTATCTCTTAATTGATTTAAATAATAATTAAATAACTCTAATGATTTCTTTTGAGCTTTTGTTTTTTTCTCTTTTTCTTGTGGTTGTTGCTGTGATTCTCTGTGTTGATTAATTTTTATTAAAACAATTTGTTTTTCAAATTTATTGAACATTGATTGAATATTTTCGTTTGTGAATAGTTTTTCTGATAATTGTCTATTTGATATTTTGGTTTTTGCTTCTAACAAAATATTTAATATTACATCTAGTTGTTCCAATTTTTTATTTTCATTTTCGCTGAATGACATAGATTGATATTCATTTTCTAGTTTTTCAACTATATAAATAGATTCAATGATAACGTTAGCATTAAAATATGAATCGATATGAGGTAATTTGTGTTAAAAAAAAAAAAAAACCCCAACATTGACAAAAAAAAAAACAACAAAAAAAATTAGTGATGTGGTTTTCTTATTTTTTTTTGAAAAAAAAAAGAGGATATTTTTAATAAAAAAAAATATATGCCTAGGTGATTGGGCAAAATGAAAAAAAAAAAGATATTTCTTTTGAAAAGTTTGCATATTTTTCAAAAAAAAAATTAAAAAAAAAAAAAAAACAAGTGATGTCACGTGGGCATGAAGAAAAAAAATATGTGTAAAAAAAACCCCAAAAAAAAAGAATTATATATATTTATAAATATCTTACCAAAAGATTTTATATTATCATCAATATCTTGAGCAATTATTGTGGTTGTTTCATCCAAATTATTTCTCTTTATTGTTGGCTGAGTTTGTGTATTTTTAATCTCTAGTGGGTAACAACATTTGAAAATAAATATCCAAACTAAATGATATTGGGGAAAGATTTGAATGAATTCTTGGTTCGATAAAACTAAATTCATAAATTCTGGAACTTTCTGAATAAACTGTGTTAATAGATTTGATTTACAACAAAGTTTGCATAATTTATCTAATAAAATATCTACGCCACTATTGAATGATATCATCAATTTATAAACTATTATCGCGATAAATTGAGATAAAATACCTTTATGAATAATGGTTGTGCCCCAATTACCGCTATCTATATTTTTTAATGGATTCTCTGAATAAAAATAAATTAAATTTGAAATCTATATAAAAAAAAAAAAAAAAAAAATTAATAAATAATAATAAAATAATATTAATAAATTTTGGTTAATTTACTTACAGACTCAAATTCTAGTTTTGAGGTGCTAATTTGTTGAAATTGGTCATTTGGTATAGAGTTCCAAAAAGCAATTCTATCTACAAGATATGGTAATAGTTGGTAAATGTATTTCGAAAGACATGTAATTGAAGATTGTGGTATATTTTTGTGGTTGTTTGTGTTGTGAATAACGATATCATTATTACTAGTGGTACTTGGGTCAATTAAAACTAAACTTGAAAGAAGTGATAATATGGTTTTAAATTGGAATGGTGTCAGGTATTTCTTAATTTCATCGTCACCATCAATTTCATTTGGATTTGCAATTTCTAATACTTTGAATACCAATGGTAAAATATATTGAATATCAGTTGGTTTATGGATCATTCTGTCACGGAGTAAATAAATAAAGTTTGGTAAAAGTTCTTGAAGCTTTAATTGGGTATTGCTAATTAATAATTTCGAAATCTCTTCAATATCTTCTAAAATTGAATAGTCCTCCCAAACAGAATCGTCTGATATATGATCATATGAAATTGGTTCTATAATTGATTGAAGCTTTTTTGAAACAATATCCCCAGGTTTCAATTTTGTTTTCTCTGCCATAAAATATAAAATCATCATCATTATTACAATTATTATCTTCAAATGGTTCGTAGACATCTTCTTTTTCTGGTTTATCTAAATTATCTTCTATTTCATCTTTTTCATCCAATTCTTTAATTTTTTCAATTTCTTTTTCTTTTTCTTTTATTTGATCTAAATAGTCTTCTTCACCTTCGCTATCAGTTTCTAAATCGTCCAAATAATATTCATTTAGTAAATTTTGAAAATCTTGTGGTTTTTTTAGTCTATGTTTTGTAATAAAAAAAAATAATAATGTAAATATTTAAAGTTAATATTATTGTTTTTTTATTATATTTATATTATTATAGTTATCATTATCATTATATAATTGTCATTTTATTAATTATTGTTATGTAAATTATAAATTTAAGGAATAAAATAAATACTTTAATAAAATTTTAATAAGGTTTATATAAAATAAATAGTATATACCGCTATAGTATTTCGAAAGATCTTTAATGTTTTTATCAATATTTGTTTTTATTTCTGTTGTGCCCCAATATTGATGGTTTTTTTTGATTTTGTTGTTCTTGATCTTTTCCTTATGATGGAGTTATATTTTAATGAGTTTTCATTTATTGTATCAAAAAATTGATTATTTAAATTATATTGGAATAAAGAAAATGGTTGTAAATCATCTGCGGTTTTATCATATGTGATTTTATGATTTAGTTTTGAAAGTTGTTCATAGGTATCGTTTGTGAACTGTTCTAAATTATTTACAGATATTTCTGGTAAATAGGTTGATAGTTTATTAAATATTTCTTGGTTATTTAGTTTTTTATCTTTATTGTTATTATTATTTATATTGGTATTATCATCATCATTTATTTTTTGTTTTAATAATTCATCAATAATATCTTTTAATGTTGACATTATTAATTTAAAAATGAATGTAAAATTTTAAAAAATGAAATTTTAAAAAAAAAAAATTAAAAATAAAAAAAAAAAATTTATTTTCAAAAAATAAAAAAAAAAAGCTTTTTGTGTGTTTATTTTTGATTTTTTTTAATTTTACATTTTAAATAAATTATATAACGGGTAATTGTAATAAATCATTTTGAATTGGTACATTACTGTTGTTACTTGCAGCACTATTACAGTTGTTATTGTTATTATTATTATTATTATTATTACTATTACTATTATTATTTGTATTATTTGTATTTGTGTTTGCATTAGTATTATTAGAATTTTGTTGATTTGAAAACATTATTGGACTTGGAGTTAAAATTTCATGATTAAAAGTTGGGGTATTGTGGTGGAATAGTGAGTGTGGTGGAGGTGGTGGCACAAAAAAATTCATAAAACGTTGTAATTCGATTTTAGAGGGGCAATTTTCACAATAGCAGTTGGTTTCATTTGAATCTTTTGAAGTGTCAGTACCAGTATCACTTGATGTATCACTTGCACCAAGTTCGTCCATAAATGTTGAAACTAATTGTTCCAAATCGTCAGAACGTAATTGTTCAACCATTTTTTGTATAATATCTTTTCTTTCATTTTCAGGTACATATTTAAATGCTTCGACGACTCTATTAAAGGAGTTTTGAAAGTTATTTGCTTGTTGTGGTTGTGCTTGTTGTAATAGGTGTTGTTTTTGGTGTTGTTGGGCATATTGTAATTGTTTATGTAGTTGTTGTTGGTGTTTAATATTGTTATTTAATAAATTTAATGTATTTTGTTGTTGTTGCTTTGAAATATCAAATTTGGTATTGTTGTTAAAGTCTTCATCTTCGCTATCGTCGTCACTTTCATTATCTTCATCTTCATCATTTAATCTATTCGAATAGGAGCTTAGTGATGGTGTAGATGAATTGGATGAGTTTTCATCATTTATTTTTGGACAGTATGGCTCCATATCAAATTCTATTTGGTGTTGTTGGTAAAGATTCTTGATCCATTTGCTTTGGCCATCTTGGAATTTTGAAAGTTTCTTTAGCTTATCGGTAAGTATTTCGTGGAATGTTTTTTTTTTTAAGATTGGAATACCTTCTTTTTTAACATGGTCGACCTTGGATACGATTCTAATTGGATGCGAAACCATACAAATGTTGTAGATTGTCTGTGATGCATTGGCTAATGAATTGTTTCCAATATTATTTAGGATAGTCATAATTGGTTCACTACTTGTTGGTGGTGGTACTGTTGTGTGACTGATGTGCAAAACAGCAAGAAACATCGAGCCTTGATGCTGACTTGAAAGAATGCCAACTTTAACTTCTACAGTAACTTCGGTTCCATCATCGCTAACGGTGGCAACATATTGTAATGGTTCGTTGTGAATGAAATCTACCATTTTTGGTGGGTCACTATCATAGAGTAATGTTGCTTTGATAACGTAATTATGGAAATTAAATTGTGGATCGTTGGATCTCATTGTTATATTGAATGGTGTGTTTTTGACTACTACATGTACATGTTTAATAAAGTTGTGTGGTTTTTGTAATTGTAATAATACTTGTTGGGCATAATATGGATTTAACGAATTTAAAGAAATTATGGATGATTGTTGTGGTGCACCACCCAAATGCTGATTTTGGAGTTGAAGAATATGTTTATTTTTTAAAGCTGGTCCATTTTTTGTCATTTGGTTTGCAGCAGCGATTAAAGATTGTAGTTTAGGAGGTGAAAATTTAATCTCTTCGACAGCTACTGCTCCTTGTTTTGTTATTTCGATTAAAGGTTGATTATAAATCATTTTTATATTATTTTTTGTATAAGATTACTAATATATATTTTTATTATTTTTATTCGATTGTGATTGGTAAAATAGTATAGTGTTTTTTTTTTTTGATTAGTAATGATGATGATTTTTTTAGAATTTTATAAAGTATAGATATATTTTTATTGGATGGTATTGATTTTATTGGATAAGATTATGTTGGATAGTTATTGATTTTTTCTTTCTCTCGATATATTTATAAAATAAAATAAAAAATTAAGAATTAAAAGATTAGTTATTATTATTATTATTATTGATTTTTTTTTTTTTTTTTAATTGATTGAAAAAATAATTAATTATTATTATTATAATATGATAATATATTGAAAAATAAAATAAAAATTAAAAATAAATAATTTATTACAGTATACTAGCAATTTTCAAAATAAAAAACAAAAATAAAGGTATTATTATTTATGGTAATAGTGGACAGAAAGTAATACAATAAAAATACAAAGAGTAAAGTGAAACGATAAAAAATAGTATAGTATTAACTTGTTATTAATTGGTTTTATATGGGTTATGATTATAAATAATTTGTATACTATAATAATTTGTAAAATAAATAAATTTATAATTTAAAAAAATAAAATATTTTTTAAAAATAAGAAAGAAAAAAAAAAATTAAAATTACAATTAGTTAATATTTTAAAATAAACTAATATTATTATTTTTATTATTTTAAAAACAATAAAATGTGTGGAGTAAAATAAAATTAAAATAGAAATTTAATTATTTATAGATAATTAAACAATGATTAAAAGTGTATATATATAGGATAACAAAACAAATATAGTATAGGTGTAAAATTTAAAATAGTAATTAAAAATACAATAATGAAAACAAGCAAGATTTTAGATAAGGAGATTTAATAGATAATTAGTTTGTTTATTATTTTGAAAAGATATTTATTATTTTTTTATTTTTTGTTGTTGTTGTTGTTGTTGTTGTTGATGTTACTTCAACAATAGGATATTATAAATGTATTTTAAATAATAAAAAAAAAATAAAGTTTTGTCATTGATTTTAAATTAGAAAAAAGATAATTAAAATTAATTTGGTAATTTTCTTTTTTTATAAAATTACAAACTATTTGATCATTTATTTATTATTAAAGTTATTGTGTTGTTTTTTTTTTAAATTATATGAAACGAACAACATTTTTCTTAACCCTTTACCCCACCACTTCCACCCGCTTTTTACACACACCCACACAACTCGCTTAAAAATTTAATCCACTATCACCCATTATAATAATTTTTATAGAATAGCCAATTATTAAATAGGAATTAAAAAAACAATAATTAATTCCACCATCAACAAAAAAATATATAAATTTTACTGATAACAAATGTGGATAGGGGTAAATAAAATATTTTTAAAAAGAAAAAAAAAAATTTAAAATTCCCTCAAATAAACATATATACACACAAAAAAACATACTTTTAATTATTTTATGCCCAATATTAACCCCTTCCCTTCATTTATTAGCTCTTTCATATGTTTATATTCATAATATTTTAAATTAACTAATATAACAAATTAGTTAAAATAATAATGACAACACCCACACTTCCACACATACATACTTAAAAAACATACTTTAATAAAATATTTAAATTAAAATAAACTCACCACACACACAAAAACAATTTTAATCCAAACACACTAGCACAAATTTAAGAGTGGGGTAAAATAAATTTGTAATTTAAAAAATCAAATAAAATATTTAAGATTATTCATCAATATCACCTCAAAATACAAATATTGTTTGGTGAAAAAAAAAAATTTCTCATTATTTATGGAATTAAATTAATAATGGTGTTATATCAAATTGTCAAAATAATCATAAAAGTTAAAACCCACATATCAAATTCTTGTAATAAAAATCATTTATTAAAATAAAAATATATATAAAATTTCTTTTAATTGGAACATTCTTTTTCAGTTATTATTTTAATATTTGTATTTTATAAAACAAAAAAAAAACATGAGAAAAAATGGTTAAAAACCCCAAAATATGTATGCAATTATTTAATTTCATTGGACCACTTGGTTTAACTTTTAAATTTATGTTGAATAAGAAATATTTAAATAAATTTGAAAATAAAAAAAAAATAAAAAAAAGATCATCTATTTACCCTTATTTTTTTTTTTTTTATTTATTTATTTTTTACTTTTTTTTTTTTTATTTTTTTATTTATTTATTTTTTTTTTTAACTATTATGTGGAAAAAAAAGTTAATTTAATTTTAAAAAAAAATAAATTAGTAACATAGGGTATATCACATGCCGATGAATGGTAAAATAAAACAAAAAAAAAATAAAAAGTATTTTTTGCATAGATCAGTGGACACATGCGAAATTTTTAATCCTATAATTATGACATGTGACTAATGGGCAACACCCTCAATTAGAAAAAAAAAAAAAGGTTTTGATAAATAGTTTTTTCCAATAATAGAAACATATCTGTATTAATTCATTAATTATCCACAAATAATTAAAAAAATGAATATCAGTGTCTATAATGGCTTGATTTACCCCCAAGTTTTTTTTTGTTTTATCCATCATAATTTTTAAAAAATATTAAAATGAAATAATTATAAAAAAAAAAAAAAAAAAAAAAAAAAAGATATTCTTTGAATTTAAGAATTTAGATATTTATTTTTATGTAAAAAAAAAAAAATTTTATATATTAAAGAAATAATTCTCCTTTTATCTCAATCACCAAAATAGTTTGAATAATAAAAATAAAAAAATAAAATAATAAATTATTTAAAATAAAATTGGTGTTGCGAATTGAAAAATAAACAATCCAATCATTGGTTTTTTTTCTTAAATCTCTTTTTCAGAGATAAAAGAAATTATATTTTAAAAATATCTCAGGCATTTTTTTTTTATTTTTTTTTATTTTTTTTTTATTTTTGATTCTTTGTATTTAATGCAAATAAAAAACTATTTGACAGAATGAAAAATACAGTTTTACAAAATCACAGGTCCACCACTTAAAAAATGCAAGCATCATAATTTTATAATAAAAACTCTTAAATCATTCAATACTACATAGCAACTTGATTTATAATTTTTTGTTGATAATTTTTTTTTTTTTGTCACAATAACCATTGGCACACTTTTATCATAAAAATTTTAAGGTCAAAAAATAATTTAAAAAAAAAGATATACATACAAAGAAAAGTAAAACAAAAAAAAATATGTAAAAAAAAAAAGATAAAAATTTAAAAATACGTTAAATTCTGGGTATAAAATTTCATAATTTTTTCTTAAAAATATTTTTTTTTGTTGTGGTAACTAATAAAGAAGAGTCTTTCCATCTGATAATTTAGAGTTGAATATCTATTAAAAGGCAAACACATGTACCACAAATGTCCACTTTTATTTTTTTTTTTTTTTTTTTTTATTATTTTTCATAAAACCCTTAATTTTTTTATAAAAAAATAATTTAAAAAAAAAATTATAAAATCTTAATGTTTTTTGAGATAAAAAATTAAATATCTTTTTTTTTTGATTATAAAAAATATTGTTCAATTTGGATGATCCACAATACTAATACATTAATTCCTTTTTCAAAATTAATTTTTTTTTTTAAAATAAATGTATTAAGGTCAATAATAGAATAAAAAAAATCTTTAGTTCACCTAGTTTATAATCCAATAGTAAAAAGAAACAATCACTCAATTAAATCATGCTAAAAATGTTAACAAATTTTTGAGGGAAAAGTATTGTCGAGAGGTATATTTAACATTAACTTTAAAAAAAAAAAAAAAAAAAAAAATTTTCACTCAACCAATTTTTTTTTTTTTTTTTGCTTTGCGCACTAAATGCATATAAAAAAAAAAGTTAATAAAAGAGATCGATTCAATTATTTTTTTTATGAATATATTTTATATCAGGAATGGGGTTTTTGGAAATTTTTTTTTTAGGGGGGGATTAATTAAGGATTATATTATAGGTTTTTTTTTTTTTTTTTTTTTTGGGGTTGGGGGAAGGGCAAAAAAAACAAATAAATTTTTTTTTTTTTAAAAAGAAAAAAAAGGTTTTTATACGGAGGGG